TCTTTATAAAAGAAATGTTCGTACAAGCATTTATTTGAATTCAAATTTATTTTAATGACTTAGTATTTACTAAAAAGATGTAATTTTTTAAAAAAAAAAATGATTTGAATTCTTAGAATTTTGTGCATTTGCAATGTACCTAAATTAGTAGCGAGCAAAGTGAGCTTGGTTTACAAAGCAAACCATATTAGGTTGCGTAGCAATTTTCGGGGGTTAGCGAGCAGGGGGCGCAGCCCACTAGTTTACTATAATACTAATAATCTCTGTTTGACTGTGTTGGAGACGCTGAATAATTTAGAAGTAAATGTTGCAGTTGTAGGCTGATCATTAACATATAGTTGATTAGAAACAGGTTGATAAAATAGTTGATTCTAATAAGGGAATAAATACCCTATGTTTTAGAGTCAGTATGTATGCCTTTATAATTTGTTTCGTTGTTTAGGTTCGTTTGGATGTGCTAAATTCACTAAGAAACAACTTTCTACAAACTCTTAACCAGGCTTGGAATGATCACCAAACAAGCATGGTTATGATAAGAGACATTCTGATGTATATGGTAAGTGGCTGTTTGATGTTAATCCTAAATAACTTTTGATCTAATAATTGGATTTTCATGTTATAGGACTCAATCTTAATAGTACAAGGGGTGGGGGGTTTCAAATATGCTGATGTTATAAAATCAGACACTAAAACATACTTTCTCTGAATAAACATACCTTTTCATTCATGGATTTGGATTTTTGACCCCCGAAATATGGTTCCAATAGTTTCGTCAAGATAGTGGTCCAAATTTTTGACCCCTTAATGTTAGTTTTACTTTTTGCATATTACCTGATATTTGGAGAACTTTTGAAGCTAATTAATTAATTAATTAATTAGTCCTAAATATTTAATATTTAAAAATTTTTATTTTATTTAATAACAGTTGAAAAAAAAATTTTGAATAACAAGGTAGACACTTTTTTTATATCTTCTTAAAAATTGCAATTTTAAATGGCAAAATACACAATTTGAGTTAAATCGATCAAATAGTTTCTAAGAAATCCAATTTTAAAAATTAGATTTTTTCAAAACTTGATTTCTCACTAACTATTTGACTGATTTCGCTCAACTTTTGTATTTTGCCATTTATAATTGCATTCTTTAAAATGATGCAAAGAAGACTTATTAAATAAAATAATAAAAAACATTAAATGTTTACTAAAAGCTATATTTTGCATAGAATTATCTTTGGATGAAAGAGTTTTATAATTGTGTGCAAAACATTTTCTATTTGCTTTAAAAGAAAGTTCTCCAGATATCGCGAAATGCTCAAAAATAAACAATAAAGGGGTCCAAAGTTCAGACCTGACCAAACTATTGAGTTCCTGTTTCCCAGATAGCTGCTAATAGGGGGGATAGAAATCCATTGAAAAAAATATGTTTATTCTGATAAAGTATGTTTTTGTGTCTGATTTTGTAACTTAAAATATCTTCTGCGCTAATTAAGTAGCATATTTCTGGTCATCCCTTGAACTTTTAAGATTGAGTGCCATAGCGTGAAGATCTGATCAGTAGCAGTTCAAGTAGTATTCAGTGTATTTTGTTTTGTACACTGTATGCAGTAAACTCTTTATTAAGTCATGAATTTAATAATGTTACAATCTAATTTTATAATTTTACACTTCATTAAGGAATAAAAATTTTACTATAATAACTCTAATAAAAGTTTTTTTCCTTTCTTCAAGTAGATTTCTTTTAATTATACATGTTTAAACGCCTTTAAGCAGAATCTGCTGTTAAAAATGCACATAACAATGTTTATACCAATTTGTAAAATCAATTAGTGAGGTTTTTGACGTGGTGGTTTAATTCATGGTTGAAACTGATACTTTTCAAAAAGTTAATGTTGTGTATATCAAATTTAAAAAATATATATATATATATATTATTTCTCTAAATTTGAGTAAATATGTGTCATTATATTCACATAATGCTTTTAACAAAAATGTTTTTGACTGATATTTTTTATATTTTCATTATAGGACCGAGTATATGTCCAACAAAATAATGTTGATAATGTCTACAATTTAGGACTAATAATATTTAGAGACCAGGTGGTGAGGTATGGGTGTATTAGGGATCATCTTAGGGAAACTTTATTGGATATGGTGATGCGTGAACGTCGAGGAGAGGTGGTTGATAGGTAATGCCTCTTTTCCTTCTTTTAAAAACTCTACCTGTGTGCATTTTTTTAAAATTAACTAATATTAGTTGCCAATTTTTAAGTTTTTTTAAAACTTTTGTTGGGATTTTTAACTGGGACAGGCTTTTTCTAATTTATTAAGACCGTCGTTGAACAGCCGACCCAATATTGGCGTTTATGACTACTAATGTTCAACTCCGTAGCCTTGTAATTTTGAACCAATCCAGAAGACAAGGAAACTCCTGGATCAGTACCCCCAGAGGTATTGATTTGTTATGCGAACATGGAGGACTTTGCGACTCAACAGATTTAACATGCATTTTTACTACATGGGGATTCTTCAGCCGGCGGGAATCGAACTCTTGCACATGGGCCCTGAGCCTTACCGACCAGGCTATTCTGGCCTTGGTGCATGTTTTTGATGAATTTTGCAGACATGACTGTGCTCTGAAAAAAATCCGGATTTTTCGCTAACTGTGATCTGGAAGTTTCAAGAAATCATTGATCACATTTATTTATGAAAAATCTTGTATATTTTACTTAAAAATATTAGAACTAAAATTTATACTTGGCATCTCTTTCATTTGTTAATATTTTTTTCTGGTAGAATTATAGAAGTAATTAGACATAAAAGTAAACTTATAAATAATTATTCATTTAAATTCTGCTGCATATAATTTATTTAGAATTTCATGCTTTGAAAATATCAATGCTTTAAATTTATGTAGGAATTAATTTTTTGAAATGCTTCATTAATGATTTTACTCAAGAAATTTTCAAGATTTTTGAGTTGGGCTCACAATCATCCCTGATTTTGAGATCTGTATCCCCAAGGAATACTACTTTCTTGTGGAGTCTCATTTTTGAACATATGAAATATCATGCACACATAAATTTGCTCTACAAGATATGCAGTTGATTAATTCTGGCTATTAACGAGTAAAAGAAAAATTATGAATAGTAGTTAAATTATTTTTCTATGCATTAATTAGACTAGCAATTCACTATTTCAAATATTTTTATCACTGTTCTTATGTCAAGACATCCTTGACCGAGATTCTTAAAGAAGAGTTATATATGTATCTTTATATTGTTTTTAATTTAGTTTGAAATACTTTAGATTAGCAATCAAGAATGCCTGCCAGATGTTGATGGTCTTGGGAATCGATAATCGATGTGTCTATGAGGAAGATTTTGAGAAACCATTTTTAGTGCAGTCTGCAGATTTTTACAGAGTTAGTTTATCTTTTCATATATTTAATTATGTTAATTTTCATAATTAACAGCTTTCACTATAGGTCATAAGTACTTAGTAGTGCAAGGGTACAAAAATTCTTAGAGCATTATATTTTCTAGTGCACAGTTTTTTATCTTGAAATTTCTTTAAAAATAGTTAGAATAGCTTTTTCAATATATTTTTAGAAAGAAAATTTTTTGTAAATTGTTAAGATAATAACATGGTGTGTAGCGTTTTTAAAAAGTGCCTAAAGGTGCTTTTTCATGGGGTGTTTTTAAAGAGTGCTTAATTTTCCCTTATTCAAAAATGAGATTTTCTTTTCTTTACCATGTCAATTTTCGCCTTGTATTACGCAAATACATGCTTTTCACATTGTTCCATTTAACATTTCCACAATTCATTCAACCACAATGCATCTTGGTGTATTGTCGATTCATAGAATATGAAAGCGCCAATCATTTTATGTGTTTGTTATCAATCATTTTGCAAATACTTTCGAGTGTGCATGTGCATCTACTGAGCTGGGTTCAGTGTGATTATTGCACTCGCATGTGCAACTCTTCTTGCTTTTGCAAGATATTCACAATTTCAGGCTTCGTTTACCATCCTCTGATATCAAACCTAAAAATATTTTGATCATTTCACAATGGCTAATGTAGTCGGGAAAAGAGTTCTTTTTTTAGAAACTAGTTATTTTATAATGATCATGTAAAGTCTTTGAAAATTATTTTGCAATGTTTATAGTACTTAAAAATATTTTTTGAGTGTTTAAAAAGTGCTTATTTTTTGTTGAAAGATTTGGCTACACATCCTGTATTAGATAATATTTAATTCTTTTACAAAGAAAAAGAAATTAATTTCATTTTATAAAATTGAATAAAATGGCATAACTATTAAGAATAACAGAAGTCAAAATATATTTAAATAGTAATAATTTAAAAAAATTAAATTTAAGGTCCCACTTATAAACTTATATTAAGGTTCTACTAATAAATAAACAAATTTACATACAGTCAAACCCTGTTATAGTGAATATGGTTTATAGTAAACTCCTGGATATAGTGAACGAAATGTTCACTCCCGTGCCTTACTATAACATATATAATATTATTTTTTATGGATATAGTGATCCAAAAGAAGAGAGGAAATCGGATATTATGAACTGTTTTTTTGTCTTCTTCATTTTTAGGTAATTTTGAAATTTCTACATATAATACATATACCGATTTTTAAAACCATCTAATGAGTGAAATGTAGCTATAAGCATTTTTTCTTATTTGCTTCTCAGTTTCCTTTCCCTAAAGTTTTTGTACGTAAGATGAAGAGTCATAAAAATTAAAAACTAACAAATTTTTTTGTTCCTACATATTGTTTTCTTAATCATTTTTGTATTTTTTTATTGGTCATTTATTTAAATAATGTGTAATAAAAGGGAGCACTTCAGAAAAATCAGTTATAATTGTTTGCAGTACGGTTAATTCCCCGTTATAGTGAACCATACTTTCGGTCTCATGAAGGTTTGCTATAGCGGGGTTTGACTGCCTAAAGTTTTTTGTGTTACATTTAACATAACATAAAATATTATTTTTCTGGACAAAAAATTTATATGGTATGAAGAATTATAAGAGCAAGTAGAATAAGAACATATATTGTAATATTTAAATTATTCACTTTTACATCTTTCCTTTGCCTTATTTGTTTTAATACTTCATTAATAATTTAGCAGCAAGATTTAATAATATCCAGAAAGTCAAGAAGTAAAATTTGTTTCAGATAGAAAAGAAAGCGCGAAAACTTTTTCAAGTTATTTAAAATACAGTGGCGCTCACATACTTAAGGACTGTGTTTTCAAAATAAATGTGTCATTGTATTAGATGAATATTATGTTTTGATCAAGATATCTATAATGACGAATTCTACCTTAGTTGAACTTCAATCCTCAAATAATTCATTCGTGTTCACAAGTGTTTCATAAAAGTTTATTTAAGAAATATAGTATTTTGTTAAGTTTCTTATACTTAAGGACAGTTTGTCTAATCATGAGTTATTGAATGATTACAATCAATTTATCGATCAATGTAAGTGTAATTTATTACATTATCTTTGTTTGATGCTTTAAAACATTATATTAATATTTTTGTTTCTTTTTTTTAATACAAATTTCAACATTATTATGAGTAAAGGAAAAAAATGTTAGCAATGAACAGAGATGTCGAATAGATACTCTGAGAAAAGAAGGTTTAAGCATTATAGAAATTGGTAGGCGGTTAAAATTATCAAAAACAGCAGTTTTCCAAGCATTGAAATCTATTCAAATGACCAAAAGTATTTAAAAAGCATACCGAAAACCACGTCCTTGCAAAACTACCGAACGAGAAGATTGAATTATTCATCGAATTTCTGAAGCTGATCGTCGCAAAACCGCCCCGGACATCAGAAAAGAATTCGCTGCATTAACAGGCAAGCACGTAAGCAATAATGCCATCAAGCGGTGTTTAAATGAGTTTCGGTTTATGGGTCGCGTATGTAGGAAAAAACCATTGATGTCAAAGAAGAAAATAGCAGCTTGATTAGCTTTTGCAAAATGACACCAAAACTGGACATCGGCTGACTGGAATCGAGTTATATTTACAGACGAATCGAAGTTCAACAGAATGGGCTCAGATGGCAAAAGTTATGTGAGGTGTCGAGTCGGTGAAGAATTTAATGTACGGTGTACAAAATCAACTGTAAAAGGTGCAGGCGGCTCGGTGATGGTGTGGGGTGCCATGACACGTTCACGATGTGGTCAAAATCGAAGGCATCATGGATCAGCATGTGTATGTGGACATTATCAAGACTGTTTTTCTGCCTTATTACACGAAACTTCGCTCAAGAAAACCAATCATGCAAGCCGATAATGATCCAAAGCACACGAGCAAAACTGTGAAGGCCTTCTTGTCAAGCAAGAGAATTGAGGTTTTGCAGTGGCCTTCCCAATCACCAGATCTCAACCCGATCGAGATGCTGTGGATGGATGTGGATAAATATGTGAAACCGCAAAAACCAAAAAATTTAGGTGATTTATGGAAATGTGTCCAAGAAGGCTGAACAGCTATACCTTCTGAGCGATTTCAAAGATTACTAGATTCGATGCCTCGTAGATGCGAGGCAGTAATTGCCGCAAAAGGCTTACTGACTAAATACTAGCTCCGAATCTTTATTTTTTTTTACATGTTTTACATTGTTATTAATTTTATTAACGATTAAGAAGTAATTATTTTATTGTCCTTAAGTATGCGGAATGCATATTTTTTCTAAAAGGTTACATAATTTAAGTATAACAGTTAGATAAATGATTTACATAGTGAAAATATATTAAAAATAAGTTATTTGTTTCAATACATAATTATAAATTCAACAAACGTATGAGTGAACATTAAATTTTGGATTTTACTTTTCATAAAGACATGTCCTTAAGTACGTGAGCGCCACTGTAAATGCCTATTTATCATCCGTAAATGACAACCATCCTTTTTTCTTATGCATGCTATAGATGAACTTACAAGTTTTATACGCTTTTAGATTGGATGCCAGTGAAAATTTAGTAAATTCATATTTTTAATCATGGAATTGTCTGTTTAAAAGTTTTGCATTTTTATGAAATGGAGTTTTATTTCATTAAAGTGAAACAAAAAACATTTTGAGGCAATCTATTGAACTGAACATTCCAGTTGCACAGACTTATAATTTCCGTAACAAGAAATTATCTGATAATTTTTTAGAAACTCAATGATTAGATAGTTTTGCTTCAAATAAAAATTTTCTTCTCTATGTCCAGGTTTTTTTATTACTGAATTTTTTACTCAACCAGGTATTTTTAATATTAAATTCTTTTAAATTAGATGACAAATATTAAATAATTTTTATTTACAAAAATAACAGTAATAAAATCTAAAAAGGGAAGGCAAATAATGCTTTGTATCCAATAATTTTTTTCTGCTCAACATACAAAATATATGTATATATACACACATATACGTACATATATTATTAGTGATATTATTATGAAGGGAAATTTTTAAAATTGTTAATTCTATGATATTATGAGAATAGCTGCTCGAAACTGAGCAGCGTAAAATCTGGATTAAGAACGAAATCACTTGTAGCATATACTTCCAAATTTGATTGTTCAATTGCATGATTTTAGACTCTTTGTGTAATAAATAATATAATATTAAAACTATTGGTATTTTTAAAACTTTGTAAAGATCAGAAAAAGCTTCAAAAAGGGAAGACTCGGATGAACCATTCAAATTTCGTTTATTGTAATAGTAAAGTATGAAAAATATCAGGATTGTAATGAAAAAAATGTATATCGAATAAGTGCATTAAAAAAACACATTTAAAGATCAATAACAATAAAAAAAAAAGATCAATTTACCATGGAATAGGCATAAATTCAGTATGTGCTGCAAAAATTGATTACTCTAATGCACAATTTGAATTTCCTTTGTTGTAATAATATCGTCTGATAGATATTGGCATTTTAGAAACCTTGTATAAGCATTACCAAAAAAATTCATCCTAAAAAGAGTGGAATTGTCACCTGAAAAAGTGGATGATGTGATTTAAATTTCGAGTATCCTAATAATTTCTTTTGAAAAATACCAGGATTTTAAACAAACCCCCCAAAATTGGTAGCAATGAGAGTAAAAATAGAACTATCGTAACTTTACGATAGAATCGGCACAAAAAGAGCATGCCGTGAAGTGATTACTCAAATCAACACTAACACATTCTACTCCTTTGCTTGATTATTTGTTGAGGTAGCATGTAATGATTCCTTAATGAATCTGTAAATTTAATAACATCCTATTTGATCTCTTTTAATGTGTATGATAATTCAGTATTAAAATGCTTTCCAAAATTATTTTTTCTTCAGATGGAAAGCCAAAAGCTTAGAAGCAATATTTAGAGTAATTGTTTCATGGCATGTGCAAAAAGAGCATGCCATGAAGTGATTACTCAAATCAACACTAACACATTCTACTCCCTTGCTTGATTATTTGTTGAAGTAGCATGTAGTAATTCCTTAATGAATTAGTAAATTTAACAGCATTCTATTTGATCTTTTTTAATGTGTATGATAACTCAGTATTAAAATGCTTTCTAAAAATATTTTTTCTTCAGATGGAAAGTCAAAAATTTCTTGAAGAAAATAGTGCATCTGTTTACATAAATAAAGTCGAACAAAGAATTAACGAAGAAGCAGAAAGGGCTAAACATTACCTTGATGAATCTACTGAAGAGCTCATTGTTAAAGTTGTGGAAGAAGAACTCATAAGCAAACACATGAAAACAATTGTTGAAGTGAGTATTTCTCTTTTCAAGTTTCTTTCTTGTTATAGCTAAATTTAATGTATAGCAAATAAAATTGGTCTAAAAATTTTATCTTTGTCAGGGGTGTGATATTTCTGCCCCTTTGGCAGAATTTTTTTGAGCTACCTGCGACAAAACTCTCTAGCACTGATATCTTTCTACAAGATACTTTTAATAATAACAAACTTAGGTATGTTTTTGCAGAGAAGGTATGCTTTTCTGTCAGATTTAGTAGCTTATAATATCTTGTGCACTAGCATATTTATGTTTAGACCTTCGATCCAATAAAATTGAGCCTTAGTAAGTGAAAATTGGATCATTAGATGAAAAGTTATTCAAAGTATTTACTTTTTTATTTAGCTCACTGTACATTTTAAGTTGCATCGTGCAGTGAAACATTGAATTTCTTTTGATGCAAATAAATTTTTTATTGTTTGCCAAATTATGTGTCGATAAAATGCTTGTGGATAATTATGACACAAAATATCTCTTAAGGTGAACTTAAATTTCACTATTCTAAAAAAAAGGAATTATTCTGAACCTGAAGAGAAAATTTATATTTACTTTAATGGGTAGGAAAATTGATGGTTCATGATTCTATTAACTCCTTGAATTATGTACTCATGTTTGATATGTAACTTCCACCTGTCAAACTGCATTACTGATCTTTGCTTTAAATGATTCAGAAACAGTTTATAAAGCTCTTTTTTTTTTTTTCGAGATACCCTTCCATTTCACCAGTGAATGTAAATTCAGCTATTTCATTTAATTTATTTTTATATTTATATTGTTGTCACCAAAGAAAAGAAGGGAAAAAGAATGAAGTTTAAAAAATAAAAAAATTCAGCTGATATTACCATATTTTCCAGTTTATAATCTCCTGATGACCTGTCAAAAGAAAAAAATTTCATTAAGAGGTGCAGGCTATTTTTGCACAAGTCAATCTCAAAATTTATTTTACATCCCCGTTTATGGTGAAAGCGGGAATGTGTGCCTACATGATTTGAGCTACAAGAAGGTAGCAACACTATTGCCTATTTCCCATAATAAAAGATCTGAGTAAAGGAAGATTTCTGTAAAATCAATACTACTATTATTACAAAGCAAAATCGAAAAAAACTTAAAAAGTACACTATAAATTTCCTAATCTACGCACATTAAATACATTTAACTGAAATTATCAAAATAATCTTTTAATTTATTTTATGTAGAAATAATATTAATCCTGAGAAAATAAAAAAAATTATCAAATAAATAAAAAATTATCTAAATTAAGGCAAAAAAAAAACTTTCAAAAAACTCACTAACTGGCAAAAATGAAAAATAATAACTATGTTTTAAATAAATTATTAAAGGATAACACTAAACTAAACTGTTATGAATTTAATGGAAAGATCATCACAGACTTATTAAGGAATTTTTTAATCAATAATCTCTTAATACCATGTTCTAAAAGTTTTAATGGTTAATTTAATTGGAAACAAAAGTGTGGGAATAGTAGAGTTAACATGTCTTGTATACTGTATATACTACACGCAGTAATAATTATCATTACACTAAAATTTTGGGGTTTCGGCAGAGGCCAAAAACTATGTCAAAAAGTTGTTTTTGACATGACGGTTAAAATCATGTTTAAAACTGGATGAAACAGTCAATTGTCAAAAACTTGCCAATCCTGGTAGGAAGAGAATAGTAAATGATTCATTTTCAGAGCCTCTGAAACTAAAACCTAGGTTTAAAGAGGCTGAAATCATTAAGAAAAGATCCCAAGTTATAATTGAAGAGCATTTTGTAAGAGGCATTTAAAAAGTTGTTTTTGAATAGTTGAGTCTGGTAGAGTTAACTTCAAAACACATTAAATGGATATGCAATTCACAAAAGATTTTCAAATAGTTAGACACATTTCATTAACCTTTTCCCTGATTATCCCCAGATAACTAGGGATTGGCAGAATTTGTCAGTGTTTTATCAGATTTTTACTCGGCATGCAGCAAAAAAATAGTGATAATAATAATAATCTACTGTGGTTGGAAGTTTGCCAAGTTTTGCTGTTGGATTGTGGGACTAAAACCCGTGTGGTGACCTGGTTTGAAAGAATAGTCCCATTGTAGCTCATGCATGTTGGTAAGAGGCGACTAAAATGGGTACCCAGTGTCTGGGGATTATATCAGGAGACTGGCCCTCCAGGTTGGGTGTAGGATTAACGACCCTACTCTGTAAAAAGAAATTGTTATGAAATCTCAAGAAGAAATAAACCACAGACTGACTACAAGGAGACTATTTGGTAAAGGCTTGAAAATTGGATCAAGGAATATTCGTTCTTTACACGAAAAAGAGGCTGGCCGAATTTGAGATGGATAGATGGCCTAGAGAAAGATCTTTTGGTCCTAAAAACATAACAATTGGAAAACACTAGCAAAAAATAGGTTAGCCTGGAAAAAACTTCTTGAGAAGGCCAAGGCCCACCCTGGGCTGTCGAGCCATTGATGATTATGAGACTAAACATGTGTTTTGTGCTAATTTATATGTGATGGTTGCTGAATTTACGTAGAAAAAAAGGGTAAAATTATGGCATATCACTTCACTGGTGTTTGGAAACTGTCACTTTGTGTTGTTCCTTGTTTTAAAAACTATCATACAAAGAGATATATTTAAATTTTTTCCTTTTCCTCTTGATAACTCAGGATAGTAAACTGATGGCAAATGTTTTTTATACGTAAAAAAAATGACAATTTCGACCTAAAACTTGCATATTAGGTTTCTGTTTAGCTCCTTCTGTTTGTTTATTAATGAAATAAAAAATATGTTGATTTTTTGCATTTTTTAAAAAAAATAATTGATAAGGAAAGCAGATAAGATAAAAGCTGAATCAGAGTTTAAATCAAAGGTTGAAAAAATATAATTTTTGAGCGTACACAAATATTTTATTTTTGATGCAAAGTTAAATATTTAAAAAAAGAAAATTTATTGCTCTATTTATTTCAGATGGAAAATTCTGGTGTTGTCCATATGCTTAAAAATCAGAAGACAGATGGTAGTTATATTTTGTTTTTCAAACTTTTAACTTGATTAATTTTTGTTTAACTATTTAACTACTGTTTATCTTCAACATTTTGACTTGCACTTCTTCATCTATTCATTTCCATAAGCATTAAAATTGTGATAATAGGAATGATGATTTCTCAAGCTATAGTGAGGTGCGCAAAAAGTAAAACTAACATTAAGGAGTCGAAACTTTGGACCACTTTCCTGACCAAGGTCCACTATTGGTCAGTTACCCCCTATATTTTGGGGGTCAGAAATCCAAATTTGTCTTAAACAAAGGTAATTTTTGTGTTTTTTGCTGCACTAATTAATTAGCATGTTTGAGGTCTCCTATTTGAACCTTTAATTCGTTCAATTCCTAGAACATGAAAATCTGATCATTAGATCAAAAGTTATTTGGGGTGGTCCTTTTTTTGGTGTGTATACGATATCTTAATAAACTTATTAATTTTCTGAAATACTAAATTTATTCTCATTATTTTTTTTTTAGGGGAAGGCACAACATAAAAAGAATTATTTGAATTATTAAGTTCTTGTAACAAAGGGCAATAATTTCAATTCATAGAAGTTTTGTAATTCACTATGACACAAATACTAAAAAGAAATTTTGTTAGAGTGCAATTTCTATTAAAAATGTTTTAGTGACCTAAAATTCTCCTTATTTAACTATTAACTAATGGAAATATACGCCATGACAGCACAGAATTTGTGGAATATTTTTATTTTAAAATAAAAAATGGAAGTAAATTCAGTGGAAATTACAACTAAATTTTCACACAATAATTTGCCTTTGTCTGAAATATATTATTGAATAATTAAAATAATACCCTTGAATCCTGTATTTTATTTTTATTTTCATTAGTTAGTTTGTTAAAATTTAGCTGATAACCATAGAAATCCTGGGTGGGAAAATAACTTCCCCTTAACAATGAAGTCGGATGCTTTCCATGGCTTTATAATTGCTCACATTTTATTTAATGTTTTATAATTTTAATTCTTGGGAACAATTTGTAATTTCAGATTTGGCATGCATGTATAAACTATTTAACCGAGTGCACGAGGGCTTGAAAACTATGGTAGAATGTGTCAGTGCTTACCTCAGAGAGCAAGGTAAAGCATTGGTTACTGAAGAAGAAGGCGGAAAAAGTGATGCACTCACTTTTGTAAAAGTAAGCATTTTGTTTTTGTGCAACAGTGATGTCAAATTTTTTCTATCATATATTTCATTCCATTCTCTGAATAATAAAATTTTAAGATTATAACATTTTTTAGATATTTTTATGTGTATCGTTGTATTCTTTTCAAGTCAGATTTCATGTATCAGGGCTGATTGTGCTCTGGAAAAAATCCAGATTTCCGGATTTTTCACTGACAGTGATCCGGAAGTTTCTGGAGATCGAAGGTCCAGGCGTTTCCAAAACTCATTGATCACAGAAGCTTCTGGAAATCAAATTTTCAAAGGTGGAACTTAAAAACACAGTTTATTTTATTCGTTTGTAAGTGAGAGCCAGATACTTTATAAGCTTATATTCATGATTAATATTCATTTTTATCAATAAATAGTTATTATAATTGTAAACTCAAGAAAGAAAGACATATTTGTAAATTTTAATTGCTTCTCCAGGTCATCATAGGTATGTGTAAATGGTATAGGTTAGGGGTGCACAACCTTTTTGAGTGAAGGGCCACTTGCACAGCAGGTTGGCTAACGAAGGGCCGCACATGTATTTAGACATGTTAATGACAAATGTAATAATGTTTATTTAAACATTAGCGTTCCATTTATTTTATCAATAAACTTAGTAATACCAATAACTTAGTAGTGTTCCATTATTAGAATTCATTCAAAAATAAAAAAACTTATATTTTTTTTTTCTACAAAAAAAAATTGCTATTTTTATCATATGAACAATAGATTTATCAAAATAAATAAACATTGAAGAAAAGAAATTTTTTTTTTTATCATATCATGCAATATGAAAACTCATTTTAGAATTAAATTCTAATAAATTTAAAAAAAACTGCAATGCCCACAGAATGAAAGTAGGAAAAAGTTTAGTCGTAATTAAGTAATATAAATTCAAATTAAATATTTTAATTGAAGAAAATTTATAGGTTTTAAACAAAAGCCTAAAATAAAAACAAAACTGTGATAGTTCAAAATAAAATTCAATGCTTATTTTGTAATGTACTTTATTATTTTATTTTATTAATTATTAGATTTTTTATATCGTAAACATTTTCCTTTTTTTTATCGAAAAAGATCACTTAAGCAACAAAAAATTGAAATCTAAACTACTAACAGTGAGCAGTTTAAAAATTCACGTTTTCCGCCATTTTATGAATTTCTCAAGTTGCAATAACATTGCATTTAAATTAGGGAGGGATGTAACGAGTATTTGGCCCTTCTGTGAAAAATTCAGTTGGTTGAATGATCAGTCAAATATTTGGCAAAATATTTTTTAGAAATGCATTTTTCTAAGTTTTTTTTATTTTTGAATTTTTATAGATATTACTTTTTTTTTTTTAAATTATAATCAGACAAGTCAATTTTGTCATTTTTTCGATACTTTGAGAATTGAGAAGGATCCATTTTTTGCAGTTTTTATTATAACCCAGCATTTTAACAGAACGTCTCATACTATTAATTTATTATCACTCTTTCCCTGTACTGTAATATAAATAACCAGTAACATAGAAAAGTGTGATTTTCAGCATTAAAGTTTTGTTTCAGGAACTAAGAAAAATTTGTTTTTTCTGTTTTTCTTTTTTTAGGCATTTTTATTATGACTCAGCATTTTTTTAAAAATAAAGTTACAAATAAAAAAAAATTTTATAGCAATTTTTTTTCTTCTAAAATTATGGCAATGAGAAAAATTTAAATTGAGATTTTCGGCATAAGATTTTCACTTAAAAAATTAAGAACATTTTTTCTATCTTTTTATTTTCTTTAAAAAAAAAAAAAACTTTTTTTAGACGTTTTCATTATAACGCAGTAATTTTTAATAGCATTTCTGTTGACTTAATTCTTTTTTCTTGGCTTTTTCTGGTAATTGAAAAATTGAGATGTTCAGCTTTAAAAAAAATTTTCAAAAATTAAGATTGATTTTTATGTTCTCTGTTTCGCTTTTCGACATTTTCAAAAACGTTCTTGATTGGCCTTATTTTTTAGAGTTAATTTACGTTTTTCCAGGAAATATTATTCTGAGCATTGAAATTTTAGTTTCAGTGTTGCTATACTGCTAAAAGATTTTGCTATTTGGCCCCAAGTGAACGGCGTTCAATAGATTTTTTCTTCTTTTTTTTGCCGAATATTTGGTTTTTGATCAAATCACAATTCATTACCACATTCGACCAAATCATATTCGTTGCGGAAATAAAAACGAAGGAAAAATAACTAGGATTTACGATAAAACTGTACCGTAATACCGTATCAAAAAGTGATTATTTAATTGCGTGATTAACAATCACGTGTCGTAATAACATCATAGTTAAATAACGGGATCGTCAAAATCACGAGGAAAAGTATAGAAATAATTAGGAAAAAATATATTTATGCTGAACTCAGCACGAAAAAAGCGAGTCAAATGCATGATTTAGAATTTGCATGTCGTAACAGATTAATTGGAATTTTTTTTAATACGTGGAAACACATAGCAATAACTGCCGAGAAAAATTTTTGAAAAAAAAGAAAGAATTGCAAAAAAAAGATAAAAAATCACTTAGATTTAAGATGAAATCGTCACAAATAAAGTGCACAAAAAGTGATTATTTAAATTTGCGATCTGAAACTCGCGTCGTAATAAAAATTCGGAATTTTCAAAATCATGTAGAATAGCGGAAATAACTGTTTAAAAAATATCATTTATATTTACGATAAATTCTGCTTCAAGAAAGCGCGTTAAACGTACATTTACTAAGGAATCTGTTAAAATTGATTGGGTCAAAACGTGATGACTTAAAGGTGCGATTAAAATTTTTTTATTGTGTTTAGAAACTCTCGCGGGCCACACTTCAGCAGTCGAAGGGCCGCAGGTTGTGCACCCCTAGTATAGGTATATGTAAAATTTTAAATATATTTTAAGTAAGCTAATAAATATTAAGAAAAAGGAGAAAAACCTTGTTTAAGTTTTTTTCTAATTTTTCAATTTAACTTTTTTTTTTTTTTGACTTAGAAAATTTTCTGCAATTTTAACTTGGGTGCACTATCAACCCTGATATATTAAAAAAAAAATTTTTTCATTTAAATTGGATGCACTTTTCTTGCTGATGTAATTTTTGTTTATTATTAATACCAATGTGTGGTATTAATTCTTTGTCTGTTATTATAATCAAGAAATTATTGTGCCTCTGATTTGTCTGATTGTAAATTGTAAAGTGAGTTAAAATTTATTATTCAAAAGAAGTGAAAATTTGCACTTTTTTTCTAATTTTATTGTGTAGAGAAAAAAAAGTTTTTTTTTTTTTGAAATGTCAGCAAATAGAAGTGATTAAAAGTACAATTAAAAAACATTTTATCACATATCATTATATATAGTTTTTCTTTTTAATTTTATTTAACAAAGGTTGGCTTTTTGTCCTTAAGAATTAGATTTTCGCCTGAATAAGTTTTCCCTTTAAAAATAAATATGTACAACTTAATCAAACCCCTCTTCCGAATGTTTTGTGGTATAATTCAACTTAAATTTCTATAAAACAATTTTGGAAAAAAAAACCAAACAGTTTTTAGTCTTATGAAAATGGATGTGATTTTTAAGCTATTATGTATTTGTATGTGTTATTATTTGTTTAGAATAATTTATTAGATATTAACTCAATCTAATGTTTATCTGACAAAATGTGTAAGTGGCATATGGCTAGCTAATCAAGTTTTAAAGCTTATCTGTATGATCACCTTTTCGCCCAGTTTATTTAAATTCTAATGAAACATTACTTGTAATAAGAGACCTATTAGGATAACTGTGAAAAAAATCAAATGTGTTGAGGCTGATTTTCATGAGATGTGAAACAGCTGCAAGAATGCTACTAAAACATTACTATCAATACATTTTTGCATGTTAATTCAGTTCATAAGAGTTAGAGAAAGTTATAGACATTATTTAAATATAGTTAAAAGTTCTTGATTGCAAGTATAACTTTTTCACGCCAACTTTTCTACCTTAATTTTAAAATATTTATTTATTCAAGATGAATAAATTTAAGCTCTATGGTTTGATCTTGTGTTTGGTTTTTAACTATTGACAGAATCTTTCTGAATTGATATAGGGTAGTAGTGTATTATAAAGTAATTGTATCTTACTTATTTTTAGAATCTACTGGACTTGAAAGATCGTTTTGATCACTTTCTCTTCCATTCTTTCAATGGTGACAGATACTTCAAACAAATGATTGCTGGAGACTTTGAATTTTTTCTAAATCTCAATCCTAAGTCACCAGAATATCTCTCCCTCTTCATTGATGACAAACTTAAGAAAGGAGTTAAAGGGGTAAGTGTAATTTGAAAAGTATTCAATATTAATTGTTTCAATAACAGCCTATGAAGTCATACACATAGTCATAGAATTTTATACCCTATCAAATTGCAGGATTTCACTCGTGAGCTTTTGAAAACGTAATTTGTGCTTGCACAATAGTGGGTTCAGGGATCAGATTTCCCCCTTTTTTTTAACAGATTTCCGTCTTTTTCGCTTTTGTCTCGAATTTCAGCCTCTTTATCAAAAAATAGGATTCTTTGAAAGATTAAATTTTTTTTTTTATAAATACGATCAGAAAATAAGATTTAAATAACAGTAGAACCCAGATTTTTTTCCTGGATCGACCATCATAAGAACATGAAATGTCTACCCTGAGAGAATTAATATGTTAGGTTTTTTTTTAATCGAATTTTCTTTCTCAGTTTTTTTAAAAAAAACATTTGAAATTATTGTTTTATAATTTCGAGCAAAGCCTTTCAGTGCCTTTCATTATGCAAAAACCTTTCTTTTTCTGGTCTGCTATGTTTATTTGATGTATAAAGTGACAATATTTTTTAATTGAATAAATTCGGATTACTCAGAGGTGTTGCAAATGATTTTATTGGAGCACACTATTTTTTCCAATCTGCTTCAAAAGTCAAATTTTAATTGCTCGAAACCCCCCTTTTTTTTATCTCTTTCAAAATGATTATGTTGCTATTTCATCCCTGAGAATTTTATGAAATATACTTTAACGACAAAGAATAAAATGGGCAGGCCACATTATCAGAATGGACGAAGATCGTACCACAAAAAGAGTTTTCAAAGCCAGGTCTTAAAAACTAAATATTGGAAAACACTAGCTAAAAAAAGGTTAACCAGGGAAAACTTCTTGAAAAGGCCAAGGCCCACTCTAGACTGTCAAGCCATTGATGATGATGATGATAATAGTACTTTATTATCTGCGTCTTTTATTTACTCAAGATTATGGGTACAGTAAATCCATGTTGTTTCTCAAATGTTTTTTTAGCGGTTATTATACAGAATTCTGCAAGTTTTAAGGAATATGCACGCATTTCGATTTTCAGTAATAATTTTTTTTTACTAGCTCTATTTTTACAGATTTCATTGTAAATCCAAGTAATGTTTAAATTGTTCTTTTGGCATTTACAGCTAATCTTTATGCGGTTATAAAGTTCCGATACATTTAACGTAATATTCTGACTCATTAGTTACGAATTGCACATTTTTAATTAATTACTTTTTTCTGCCAATTTTATCAGAAATCCCAAGTTATTATTCGGCAGTTATTACATCGTATTATCACATAGTTTTGCAGGGTGGCCACCCATGGGGAAAACTTTGAGTACCTGGATTTATTGTTTTGTATATATGGCAAATTTGTCGCATAACTTATGTTTTACATGGCATTGTGTTAAGTAAGAAATAAACCAAATATTTCTTTGTGAAAGAGAATTGATAGGCTAGGCTTACTCGAAATAAAATGGAAGAAAAATTACAAACTAATTACAAATGATGTTATACTGATCCCAATTATCCATTAGCTAGTTACAAGTGATGAAGGTTAGGCAACGGAATGTTTAGAAAGAGCTTAACACAATAAAATCACTCATTTTAAATTAATATATATCATGAAGTTATTTCTGTATCAATGCAGTTCTTGTAATTATGTTTGTTGATAATTACTAGAGCAGTGATTCTCAACCACTTTTGTGTGCCGCTAAATTTTTAAAATGTGCCCCCAAATATTAGAAATGATACAATAAAAATTGTAATGCTTTTTTTTATTATGAGTAAAGTTTAAATTAAAGAAAAGTGAGAAAATTAGTCGAAAGAAATAATTAATCTCTTAATAAACATGCTTTTGTAGTACATATTATTTTATTTTACATTCAAAATTATTATCACAAACTATTTAACTCAGTGTATTATAGGTAAGTAAACTACTTTTAAAAAAAACATTTTTTTCATTGTGTGCCGTCAAATTTCGAAATTGTTAAAAGTGTACCGCCACAAAAAAAGGTTGAGAATGTACTAGAGCATATTTCTAACAGAACTGCTCTGCACCAGTTCCATGCAAAAAATTTTCTTTAAATTAAATTTTTTGCTCATTAGAATTAGTTGAAACAAAAGTCCATTTGAATTCTGGATTCTGATTTGTGCTTAAAATACTTAAAAAGTGTTCTTAAACATGTTTTAGGAGAACAAAGAGAACTACAAAGCAGAGTGAAAATTTTTTTTCCCCAACTGTCATAAGTGCTTAAAATGTTTATTAATTTAGGACAATACTTATCAGTGGCCTCCATCCCCCCCAAGTTCTTGGGCAAATTCTAAATTCCCCCCCAAACTATTTGTTTTATTTAGTGTAAAAATTTCCCCCTAAGCTTTAAGTGAGCGCATCGTGCGCCCACCTTCCCCCCTGATGCTTATGGTGAAACTGTATATGTTCCTGAAGACAGACCAATTCATTCGTTCGTTCACTCACCTTCTCTCGTCCTCTTGAGGCCTCAACACATGTGTGATTAAAAAATGAGAAGTATAGCATTATTTGGCAAAGGTCGCTCATCCAAATTCGTTAGTTATTGCAAGTGGCACTTGTTCACTATACGAGGCCTGTCTAAAAAGTATCCGACCTTAATTTTTCCTGCGCAAAGTAGTGACTCTAAGGCGGCGCCTTAGTGCACAGTGGAAGGAGGAACCTTAATGCACATGACTGAATTTTTTCACCGTGTTCGCTTGTGCAACTCGCTGGCTGGTGGTCGCCAAGTAAGGTGCTGTTCGTAGTGTTCGTCGGATTTAGTTTTCTCGCAAGATGACTGAACGAATTGAGCAAAGATACTGCATGAAATTCTGTCAAAAGCTTGGTGATTCTCAAAGCCAAACAATTCGTAAGATTCAGCAGGTGTTTGGAGAAGAAGCGATGGGTGTAACACAAATTAAGGAGTGGTTCAACCGATTCAAAGATGGCCGCACATCAGCGGAGAGTGAGCAACGTTGTGGCAGGCCTCAAACTGCTCAGAGTGCAGTTAATGTTGAGAGGTTGTGAAATTTGGTGATGGCAGATCGTCGTTTGACAGTGCGGGAGATTGCAGAAGAGGTTGGAGTGAGTAAAGATTCTGCACATGCAATTTTGCGTGAAGATTTGAACATGAACCGAGTGGCTGCAAAATTCGTACCCAAGTTGTTGTCGCCGGAACAAAAAGCACGCCTCTGCACATTCATCCCAATTGATCCACACTTTCTTAGCCAAACATGGAATTACAACCGTTCGCCAACCTCTCTACTCTCCAGACCTGTCTCCTTGAGACTTCTGGTTGTATCCAAAATTGAAGACGCCACTGAAAGGATCCAGTTTTGAGAGTAGAGAAGAGATAGTGCGGAACGCGACGACGGAGCTGAACACCATTCCAAAAGAAGACTTCCAGAGGTGTTTCCAGCAGTGGAAGGATCGGTGGGCTGAGTGTGTGCAAGCACAAGGGGCCTACTTTGAAGGGTATTAGGGTCCCAACTCCGTCAAGTATTCGAAATATTTTTTCCGGCCAAAGGTCGGATACTTTTTAGACAGGCCTCGTACTATGTGATAAAATTTAACGCTTGCATTCTTTGAAGATGTAAAGTGCTTTATACCAAAATGGTAAATATAATTTACTATAAAGCACTTTAATAACAATATATTTGATAACATAAAGTTGATATCTGAAGTCAGAAATATTTGAAGCTATTAAAAATTTTATCTGTCAAAAACTTAAAGTATGTTATTTTACCGTGGCAGAATCGCAACGTTCTTGAAGAAAGATTTTTCTTTTGAAAAGTAAAAGAAAAAAATTACTTTTATTTTCTATGGAAATTTACATGTAATATTTGAATCATGCATTTAGATAATCACTTTTTAACATGCTAAATTTACGACTATAGTATCGTAAATCGGTGTAATGTTTCGTTTGTATTTTCGGCAGTTATTGATATTTTTTTTCACATGGCCGATATATTTCAAACGATATGGAAAATTCAAATTGTGCGTTTGAGTATTTACTTCTTAAGGCAATAATTATATCGAAATTTCATCATCGATCTTTTTGGGCTATTACTACGGATTTCAAGGTTTTTATTACTTTTTTTATTGTGATTATTTACGTAATGCGAAGAAGGAAATGATTTGTGCATCCCCTTCCCCTCCAACAAAATGCTACATTATCACCCATAATATTAGAATAAAAAATTATTACATTATCAAATAAAAAATAAAATTTTTTTTTTTTTGTAAACTCATTGTTTTTGTCATTGTAAATTAGTAACATACGTATTTGTTATTATTAAAAGTATCTTGCAGAAAGATATTAGTGCTAGAAATTTTGTCGCAAATAGCTCAAAATAATTCTGCCATAGGGTGTTTTTTAAGGAAATTGATGAGAGAGTGTAAGGACAGTGTCTTTTCCACTTTCCTCAATAAATTTAGATTTATCTTGGAACTTTTCTTAATTCGAACTTTGTTCCTTAAACTTTATAGTTGACCTTATCTTCCCTTATCTATTATATATAATTCTCTTACGTGGCTCCCAAATTTTGGCTGTATTTCTTTTCCGCCGGTGGCAACGTTTGCTTTGTTTTGAAAACACCAAAGCATTCTGCCTTTTAATGATGTGTTTCTGATCT